TGATTATGCTTCGCTTATTCGCGGGGAAATTCAAAAATGTACGCGCATGCGCCTTGCAAACTTTTGAAGGCTCTTGGCAGAATGTTGGCGTTAATTGTGAAAAGATTACTGGAGGAAGGAAGACTCACTTATTCAAACGTTCTAGATTACTGATTTTCTTTCGTTTTTCTTTGCGGGGCGGATCTCAGTCTGCCGTCCTTAAGACGCTGCGCTTCCAACAGTGATGGTGAAAGAACTGCTGTCTGTTTTAAAAGGATAAACGAGGCAGAAAAAATGCCATTGTCATGCCGTTCGAGCCTGCGATTTGAGACTCGTTATTCTCCGGTACGACTATGAAGAGCCTGTTGAACAATTGTCTGTTTGGGGTTTCTCTCATTAAATTTTTTGAATCAAAAAGTGCCTAGAACAAATTATCATGAAAACTAAAATTCTTTCTTGTGCTTATTATTGTAATTCCGCTCCTTTCGATTTACTATCTTGTTATTGCATAGCTTGGCGTGGTACGCTTGTGGTAGGTTTATAGCGACATATGTATGTAGTATCTAGAACAAGGATTGAGGATTTCGCTTTACACTTGTTCTGAGGAGGTTATCTGGAGACCTGGAAATACATTTTCGAGTTTCGAATATGCATGCATTTGTCTCCATCTAATCATATATTTCATCAAATAAATGCTTCGTATAATTTGTAATTATTCATATTACAATCAAGTTATTCATCTTCGGTATAATGGAAATAAAAAAGAAATCTTTGTTGAGCACATGTAGAATATTCCAAGTAATAAAATAACCCGCTCAGAGAGTATTATTCCTGAAATTACCATTTTTTAAGTTCCAAAAGTTCCAATTAAGGAGGAGGTTTGATTTTGCTGTCATTAAGATCTGCTCATTGGCACTCGCTATCTAGAGGACCACACATTTATGAAATAGTCTGCTAGTTTTCCAAATAGAATCTTAAGGGAACTATAATGAACCATTCTGAGTGCGTATGGTGTGTGCTTCCATTAACGGTGCAAACCCATACTCATTTTGTACTAATCACATACTACTTTACTATCGGATATGACGTCAATATAACATGATACAAAACAAACATTTTCCGATCATCGACTTGAAGAAGCTCAATGGCACATTGTGTAGACATTTTTAGACACAAGTATTTTTTAGTCATGTTTGTATCACTGAGATAAGCCAACAATCATAGGAAGGAAGAAAAAGAGTGTCATTTAATTTCCACAAACGTATAAATATGGGTCTAGTAAAGAATTTTAGATTATGGAATTATTATCTGAAGATTACAGATATTTTGTCTTCAAGTCTGTTTCTTAATCCTCCCACCATTCAAGTTGAGAAATGGCTTTATATATCTGCTAATGCCTTACCAGAACCACCTGTGACCTAGCACTTTTAAATAGTAATTGAGACAAGTACTGATATTTTACTGCCGAAGAAATCTCTAAGCTGAAGTACTTTTTGTCATTAAGATAGAGTTGCGATTCCCAGACGGTCCACCGAACGTCCACTCTAGCCCTGTAAAGCAAAATGGCCTCGATACTCAACGCTCTCCGGAAAAACCTGCTAGCCCATATTTCCACGATCCTGACCCATTAATAGAAGAGATTTTAAATGAAGGTTACGAACAAGAAATGGTAAGCGCATTTACAGTGGTTTTTTTAGGGGTAGAGAACGGTTAGCGATTTGAACAGCGCTTTTGCAGGCAGCGGTGGCATCCACAATGACTTCAGTTCGTCCATCAACCATGAATATGATAGTACAGAAGTGTTTGTGCAGGCCGAAGCAATATGTGGAGAACAGCTCATTGAAACGTGAAAGAACATTACTATTGGCATTAAGTACCGGTAGGTTTAAAATAATTCTTGCTCATTTGAATTCATGATATCAAACAAGGCTTTGTCAGCAAAAGTTTTAGCTAGCGGCACATTCCCTCCATGATCCTTGATGTTTTTTTGGACCGGCCTGCAAAAACAATCAGCATTTGACATTAGAGGATGCGGCGGAGACGCCTACAGGGTTTTGAGCAAAGAATTGAATAGAGTGCCCAAAATATTTTTTTCTGGAAAAAATTAAATAGTTCGAAAAGGACAGAAATTGTACTAATTTAACGCTAGCGGGCATGCCTGGGTGAGAGCTAATTCGACTTTGAACGCGATCGCGCACCTAACTGCCAATTTCATAGAGAGGAAGGTCACAAATTAGCCTAGAGTGCAAAACGGCCATGATGAGGGAGTGAAATGTCAGCAATAGCCAGCTAACTCTGTTTCCACATTCCCTGGCAGAAAAGGAACGTCAAGAAGATGCAATTTGGGTGCGGATGGAGTGGGTGACAAGATAGCGTGTGATGGTATCCCATAGTACCCATAATACACCATGATCACAATTTAACCTACGTTTACACGAATTAAACACACTAAAAGAATAGGCTCGGGAGCGCTGCCTAGTGCTTGCTTGCAAAGGATAGTTCAAGTGTCGAATTCCATCACATTATATTCCCTTAGACCTCTGCTAAAATAAAGAGAAATGTTGTGCAACTTGGAGTGTAATATTTCTTAATATATGAGAAGCGTCTTTGAGAAATTTCACCTGAAGTTGACGATGTTACAATTGAGTACCCTAGCGCTGCCGCAAAAGCTCCATCTGCTTGATCTCAGCTAAAGTCATTTACGAGAAGTAGTATTATCCTAGTTAAATTACGAGGTCATCTTTAATAGAACTTTGGCAAGAGCGCATTTCCGTTGAGTGACGCTAGCAGTGGCACAAAGCGACCTCGGTATGATTAAATTCCATGTGAGAAAGCTGTAGGTACAATGTGCCTTCTTCAAAATGGCGATTAATTTGCATTTATCAAGTAGTAAGGTCGTCATTTCAGGGTGGATTTAGGAGATAACTGCTGGCTAATGGTTATTGAGCCGCTGTATTAGATATCTACTGCCTTGTGAAGATTATGTACTCTCTGCTGAGAAATCTTGAGGATAAGTATAAACTGATTTATAAATCCATAAACACTAGCTAAACATGTTACGTTTCTTCCTAGCAAACCTTAGAAAACTTAGAGAATGGAAATAATAGAAATCGCAATCCTTCTTGTAGGTTATTGATTTTGGTTATTCTGTGGGAAATGGTAGCGTATGTGTAATAAGTTTGGTTAGGATTAGTATAGAAATAAAATTTGCATAAATAAAGTATACAAATACAGGCATAAACAGGTATTTTGGTTCATACACCCCACCCCCTCCCCCCACCCTCTCCCCTCTCAAAATACTCCAAACAACCATAGCGGTTACGGTGGATCTGCCGTTTAAAGCCATTGATGGTTCTAAACTATTAACACTTATGCTGATTTTGGCACAAAAATTTTTTGGTATTAAATGCTTACAAAATTGGACTCAAACAACTATATAAAAAGAGGTTGCTAGCGTTCTGGAAAGCTTCACGTCAATGCTAATATCACGAAAGCCATAGGTAGCTTTATACAATAATTATATCATAGTGACCAGAGGTGGATATCCATTTGCAAACGGAAAGCCAACTTTAAGTCAGTCCTTCATTTGAAATTAAAGTCTTAAAAAGATGGGAGGTCAATAAATTATTGGTGATGGAAAGTGGACACATTTTCTAAGAGATCTTGTATGTATAAATAAGTACAAGTTTTGGACGTTTGAGTGAACTTTTTCTATTGTTGGATCAATTGAAGTTCCTTCTTTTCTTCTAGTTCCCTACTGCAATGCGTCAACGTCACAGTGGGCCATGCTTCGTAGTTTTTATACTGCCACAGCTATATTTGCCCTCGATGAGCCAGCGCTAGCTTCAGAATGTCCAAGAAAAGGAAACCACTGGCAGATTATTGGCTTTCAAGGTGAGATAGTATTCGAGGTTTTTCTTGTTAAATTACTGCTTTTATAATGGAGCGATTTTTGAAGACTAGGAACACTGCGACCCAACAAAGTCGTAAGGTCGTAAGAAGCAACATTATTTTACATTATGATTCTTTTTGGACAAACAGTCGAATTGTTGGGTGCATCAGCTATTTTGGCCTTCATCCCCAACTAAATTCCATTACTAAAATCACAATTGACAAAATGTTGAAAGTTAACTTGACATCTACTGCTGTCTCTTGGTTGTTTTCCTCATATACGAAGCTCTTCGGTAAGTTAATTTAGTGGAATGACTACACATATCACCGCCGACTCTCTCTCTCAGTGCACATTTTACCTTTGCCATAAGCAATTTTTTCCTGACTTTGCGCGCAGACTGTAAAATATATTATGTAAAAATTGCGTTATTCATGTCTCAAAAAAATAGTTGTTTTAAATTTCCTTGGACCTTCCCTCGTTCTTGCGTGCGAAAATCAAGTCCATGCTTTTAAGCCCTACAGTTCTCTTTAAACTTGCTGCAGTTTTTTATGTCTAAAACGACTACTTTTGCAGCCAACGGCGTCACACAATACTCTGCCCATTTTTTTCACT